GCTCCTCCACCTCCCCCAGCGCTCGGGAGTCACCCCGCAGCATTTTCACTTTGTGATCTCCTCTAAATCCTTTTTTCCAGAGAAATAACTACCCTACAGAGATAGCTAGAAGAATCTCTTTAGTCCTGAATGGCTTTGACAGCACACGACGGGGGGAGAGACGGCTGTAGAGCTCAGTTCTCCTCTCACCAGCTCGGAAGAGAAGGGAGGGCTGAGCAGACGGCGGGGCTTCCAGGGGAGACGTCCGTCCAACGCGTCTGTGCATCAAGCCGTAGCTGGATCACTCTCGCTGACGAGAGACAACAGTGTCAGCTCACTTGGAGGCTGTTAAAAAAAATAAGAAGTTATCTGATTAACTAGGGCAAGTTATTAACCCTTTATTGACACCGAGTCGAGCTGGGAGCCCAGAGCCTGCGAAGATGCAGGCACACCAGTTTCAGCCCAACGGCTCCCTGTGTAGCGTTTCTCACGCACTTGGATTTGTGCGGAATGGCGGCCCTTTACCATGCAAAAGAGTCATCGCGTTCAGCCGCGCCACTGGAGAAACGCAGCTCTTTGCTGGGTTCCTTAAAAAGCCGTGTTTTCGCCAGGGTTTCCGCAGCACAGGTTGTTCCCCAATACTTTTGCGTTGTAGCTCGTGCACCCACATATGACAGCCTGGGATTTTCTACGCTGTGCCAAAGATGCCAGGGCACCTCCTGCTCCAGCGTTGCCCAAATTACATCAGAGCAGACAGCATGGCTCCTGCTTTCCGTGCAGCTGGCAGGGACCTTCTGCGAGCGCCCTCGTGTCCTCTGCTCCCTAAGCGCCCGCTGATGGATGCCTCGGCGGGTCGGGCAGGAGCTCTGCCCTGTGCCTTTGTTCAAGCGCACAGCCAGGAAAAATACCCCCCCCTCCCTTCCCGAGACAATGACAGCTTGTTTCTTCTCAGCATATCCGTGGGACAAATCCTCTTTGAAATCCATGCCAGTAGATCTGCAGCAATTCGAGAAGCTGGATGCCTACGCGTTAAAAGTAAGTCTTGCATTTGCCTCTGCCCCTCTCCCAGTTCCCCTGGGCGGCTGTCCCTTGAGAGCTACCAACACGAACATCAGCTTCGTCTGAGCTAGGTCCTCCAAATCTCTCAAAGCAGCAAAAAAACCATTTCCCCGCAAACATCGGCGGCAGAGATCCCACTCTAGGGGGGAAACCGTGACCAAAAATACTCGCTCGCAATGTGGAACTTTCTATTTTTAATGAAGCTCAAGTTAGAGCAGCCTCCTGGCAGCTGGGGTCTCACTAGCTTTAGGAGGACAAGGGAGCGGGGAGGAAGGGAGATCTACCATAGCGACTTCGTCACCACGATCTCGCCGTGCTTCCTCCTCACAAACAGGTAAACGTCAAGAACAGCGTAGAGGAACTCGTTAAAGCCCTGCTTAAACAAGCCCGGACTGATCTGGAAAAAGTCCGAGCCATATGGATGTGGATATGCCATCACATAGGTAGGTTGAGATCTTCGGCTGAGAAGCTAAGGCTGTTGCCTTCCCCCCGTTCCTCCGCCATTGCCGTTTCCATCCTGCGGGTTAGTTTCACGTGGCAGAAGGCTTTCTGGACGTATTCATCCAGAAATGCAGCCAGAGGCTCTCTCACCATCTCCGTTTCCATACTCCCTCTCCTAACAAGGTTTGCATGTAAATGGTTTCTTTCCACGGGATGAATCCGTAACTCCTACCCAACTTACCCAAGGGTGTAACCATACGAGACCCCGCCACCTAAGCACCGGAGCCTCGGTTCTCACATTCGGAGCCACCCAACGCCACCAGAAGTTTTGTCTCCCAGTTCTCTTTCCTTCCTGCAGAGGCTGTCCCCTATTAACACCCACGGGAAATAAACACAGTGCTAGGAATTTTAATCGGCCCACAAAAACACGATGTATCTGTCCTCGAAGAGCACCGACGATACAAACTCCTTCCTTGTTTGGATTTTAGGTGAGAACTCTGCTCCTGGGGTAGCTCTTCCCGCCCAGTCCAACTCCCTGCCTGCGACGGACTGCTGCCTCCACGCAGCAGCAGCGCTGAAAGGAGTTTTTTTAACTGTTTTTTCTAGCAAAAACACAGAGCCAGGTGCAGCCGGCTACGTCTCCGTGCCCCTCAAAGGGCTCTACCGGTGGCCCTTGTTTGGATTTTAGGTGAGAACTCTGCTCCTGGGGTAGCTCTTCCCGCCCAGTCCAACTCCCTGCCTGCGACGGACTGCTGCCTCCACGCAGCAGCAGCGCTGAAAGGAGTTTTTTTAACTGTTTTTTCTAGCAAAAACACAGAGCCAGGTGCAGCCGGCTACGTCTCCGTGCCCCTCAAAGGGCTCTACCGGTGGCCCAGCGAACAGCCCCGGTCGAGAAAGCCAGCCTTTCCCTTTTTTTCAAAGCACAACTACAGCCTCTTGCCGGCTTTTTTTCCTCTTTCACAGCATTAAAGGGAGGAGGAATCGGCTGATGCAGCATTCCTCAGAGCCTTGTCAGAAAAATATGTTCGTATTTTAAGAAAGGGGTTATGGACGTGGCCAAGGTCGGTCGGTATTGAATTAACCTTCCCAGACCAGTTCCTCAAGCTCTGTCTGAAGGAACCCTGCTGTGCTGCTTTTCTGCATTCATTTAAATAAATTAAGATTTCCTACACTTCCAGGCATTAATATGACTCACTTGCAACAAATAATTTCAGGTGTTTCCCAACAAGCTATTTTTAATACACCTATATTTCCCAACAGGTATTTTTAATACAAATTGCTTGTAAAGTGTGCAGAAAGCTCAACAGTTTCCTTTGACAGCAACACGAGTCCAACTTGGACTCGTGCAGAGCTCTCCATTTTGTACCAGGAGCTCCCGAGATCGTAGATCCCCCCGCACGGGGCAGCCCCCGGGGAGGCCCACTTTCTCTTGAAAAGCACCGTTTCCCTCCCGTTTGCATTCAGCTGCTGAATCCCGCCCCAGGCTTAGAACAAACGGTGATGAGAAATAGACCTTGTCCCTCTCCCCGCACCGGCCGCCCACGACATCCTTGCGCAGCGCGCGCCACGGCTCCGGCCCCCTTTCTGGGGTCCTGGGGCCGGGCGCGCCACGGCTCGGCTCGCTTTGCTGGCGCTCGCGGAGACGAACAGCAAAGCCAGCATTGCTCCTGCTGCCCGTCCATCCCGTTGCCTCGGGCTTTTGGATGAACTTTCGCCTGTGTTCCTTCCCGCAGAATACGACGTAGTGGGCTACCATAACAAAAGCCAGCTGTCGAGCAAGCCCATCGACGTGCTTCAGACGGGGAAGAGCATTTGTGAGGGATACGCTGGGCTCTTTGAACAAATGTGCAGGTAAATTAAGCTCAGAACCATTCAATGCCGGGGAGAGTTAACATTCGCTGTCATCTCTGTGCCTATTCCGTCTGCCTTTGCATTGACTGATGTGACTTTAAGCAGGACACGGAACTTTAGCTTTCAGACCATGCTGTGGAAAAACAGCAAGTCCTAGAAAGGTCAATTTTGCTTCCTCCTCCACCCCCCCTGCTCCCCCTTCCCCAGCATAATTTTCTTCGTGCCATCTGCTGAGCTTCGCGTTGCATTAACATAATGGCAGATGAAAACAGAGAGCTAATTTGGTTAGAAGAAGCTAGGCTTTCCCTTTGAGTATCTGTATGTGAAGGTTAAAAGCATGGCAAGACTGAGACAAGGAGGAGTGTTGTCTCCAACATGCTCCCATGCAAGAGGTAGGCACAGTCCCAGAAGGAGCTTTCCCAACACCTTCCGGAGATGCCCTCTCCCCTCCACTACCGGAGCACCGCAGGAACGCTGCCTCTCACTCACCGCACCGTTTTCTGCGGTTGGTCTCCAGGTGCATCGCCGTCGAGGGCAATCCTGCAATTCCCATTTTATAGCTACGTCGGCATTTAATGACTAAAGTCCATTCTCCCGCCTACAAAACCTCATTGACTTCACTGGGGATTAGTCGCATAAACGAGTGGGATTTCCCCCACAAAGCAGGACTTTCCCATCACAAAGCCATTTCATAGAAGAGGCAGCCCCTTCCTCGGCAGGGAGCACAGGCGCCGTGCGTACCCCGCGCAAATCCTTTCTCCCTCACGTTTCTCCAACCCAGTGAAGAACGGCGATGGCCGTCGCACAAGGCAACGCTCAAGCACCGCAGCCAGGAGCGGCACCGCGCCTCTCCCAGCTGTGGGCAATAGTTTGTCTTTAGAGGAGTAGCCAAGGCAGCGAAGGTGCCCGGCACGTTTGGGACCAGCCTTACGGAGAAGGGTTGTCCAAGAGGAGAAAACTGGACCTGACGACTGAGGGACACGAGCGTGGAAGGGGCTTGCTAACGCCAGAAGGCAATAGTGTAGTTTCCTAGGAGCGTGGGCTTGCAAGGTGACTCTCCCAGGGAGCACCTTCTCAGCACAGCAGCTTCCATTTACAAGGTAGCTTTGGAAAAAAATTTAAAGACCGGTTATTAATTGTCATGTGTGAGTAACAATTGGCTTTCCACACCATCCAAAAAGATCTGGGAAGGTTTTCACCATGAAACAACTAAAATCTGCAGGGGAAAGGACAGATTTAAAAAAACAACACCACCACCAAAACTGTGTCAGATGCTGAAGTGGCAAATGCTTCCACCCAAGAACATATCCTGCGATATCGGATCTTGCTTTCTAAAGAGTAAAATAAAGAAATAGGATGATGAAGTATGAATTTATAACTGCATCTTATGGAACAGTTATTAGCAGTTAGAAGTGGGGGAAATTTGCATCTGTGCATTAAAAAGCATATGTTTAGTTCATTAAAAACATGAATCTTTCCAAGGATTATCTTTTACAAAGGCTCTGTTGATTTAATTCCTCAGTTCCAGGTTGATTATTCATTTTGTGACTCAGGAAACCTCCCAGTCATCCAGCCTATTACTTTTGTCAAATATTAGCTCAATGTCTCGCTCCTTTCCTGGAAAGCTATAACCAAAGACAACACCCTTCCTTGCAAGGGGATCTCCTCATCCCTTCTGCTTGTGCACTGTTCAAGTCTTATGCTGAGTCTCAGCATAAAGGCAAAAGGCAAAGAGCAGTCTTCTTATAGCAAGGTTTTTTAGAGTCAAGTTTTGGCGGGGGGGAAAGAAGGTCTTCCAGCATGCCTTTTCTGCCTAGCTCCTGTTGAGGCAACTTTAACAACCAACCCAATTTGCCAGTCACCAGGAGTCCCCCCCAAAAGGTCCCGCTGAAGTCAACGGCTGACGCTGATTGAGTCCTACTTGTCCCAGTGCCAGCAGAGAGCAGAGTTCCTGTTGCAGACACAACCCTGTCACCTCCGACCACAGCTCTGGCAGCCAGACTTCTTCCCATTAGCTGAGACTCACTGTCACAGAGGAAAGGTGGGCACGGATAGACATCACTCTCCAACCATCAAGCGTACTAGCAATGGACGTAAACACAGGTTTCTGACCAATATTTTAGCAGCATCGATGAATTGGCTTCTCAGCTGACAACCAACTCGAGGAGGTAGGGTGGCCGAGTGAATCGGGGAGTGTAAATTCATTAATTCCATTTAGGACGAAACCTAGCAGTCCGGACTCGGGGAGAAACTCGCTTACCAGAATTAATGATGAAGGCAAAATAATTATTTGCACTTGAGAGGTTTCAGCCACCACCTTTGGGAGCAAAGCTGACCACACTCCTTACAGTGGATCTGACCACTTAGCTCTCCTTACTCATAATTAGTCTGCAAATAATCCAGGTTTCACATCCTCTTGCTTTTCCTGTTTTCTGCAGTCGGTTCCTTCCTTTCAGGCGCAGGAGCGTACACCTACCTACCACAAGTATAAATCATTCTGTCTCCCTCTGGAGAAGCCAAATTTGCTTCTTTTTTGGATGAAATCATCAAAGTCAACCTGAAATCGAAGCGAAGAAGGTGCCATTGAATTCCAGTGACACCTGTAGCAAGATCCAGATTATTTCCTACTCTTTTTGAAGCGGAAAAGCAACTTAGCTTTTAAACTCCTTGCTGCAACAAAGCAGATGTTGCCAACTGTTTCTTAATTCAGTTCTGCCAGTCCACCTTGTATTTAGATCATCTTCTACCACCACGCTGCTCTTTCAAGAATTTCTGGAGATCTCCTCAGTCTTCTCTCTGCCTGGTTAATTTGTCTGTATAAAGTCATTTACACAAGCAGAGAGACACGGCCACTCTCTTCACCAGTACAGGATTGCTCTTTTACAGGATGTTTTAGCCCATTATTAGAGAGGCCACTGTTTAAATGCTCTGACCTTTCCTTTGGGAGCTTTGAACACATCCAAGCACAAACTCTTCTTGCTGCTTTGCTAATGTTCACTGTAAGTGAGAGCACAGAGAGGACGAAGGGCAGAATTCATCCCTTAGCGTTCTCTCCGAATACACCCACTAACAAGAATGTCTAGAGAAGCCTGGAAGGATTCCAGGCCAATCCCCATGAAATTAGTAGGAATTTGGTACTTAGGTCCTGTTAGGCCCCTTTGAAACTCCTAGGATCAAATCTTCCTTGAAGCTCCCAGGCCAGCTCCTAGTCTCAGTTACATCATGTAAATCCAAGCTCTCACCAGTCTCGTCAGTGGAGTTGCTCCAGATTTACTGCCCAGCTCCATGTTAGAATTTGGCTCACCCGTGACTGCGGGCTGGCAAAGGCTTTGCAGACCACCTGCGACGCCAGGTTTCTCAATGGCATTCCTCCCAGTCCTGCCACGGTCGTTCCGAATACCTCGTGTGACAGGCAGCGCCTCGCTATCGCCGCGTGAAGCCCACACTAAACGAGAGCTGGCTTGCATGCTCCCTCCTCTTCTTAGCTGGCCACCTTTGGCAGGGATGGGGTACGGCCACGTTCCTCCCCTCCACAGAACTTTGTCTTTTCTCTGCAGGCGACCCAGTGTGAGCTCCCAGCTGGCTCTCAGTCAGCCCTTTGCAGTTGTGGTTCTATTTTTGATACCCTTTCTTAAAGAATTTGAGAAAGAATGTAAGAATTCAATTCGGTACTCTTAAAGAGAGGGTATCAAATAACTGACACAAAGACGTCCAGGTTTGAGTTTAGTAAGTCTGTGTGAGAAGCTGAAGTGACCACCTCCCCTTTAGACGAGCATCATCTCTGTGAAAAAAGCAGTCCTCCCCACGTGCTGATCATCTTCCCCATAAATATCACTTTTCTTCTGAGTTAAACCCACGTTATGCAGTCTTGCTCTTGAAGCGAGCACAGTTTATTACTTAAGGTAGCTGTTCCATTTAATGTAGTTTTCAATGAAGAAGAAAAATGGTCAATACCATCCTACACAAAAGACAACCCTCCAAGTGAAGCAATTCTAAATTAATGCTGAAATAAGATGCCCATCTTCGAATCCATTGCTATCAACAGCGGAGAACTTATTAACACAGTGCTGATTTAAATCTTATTTACACATCAACACAGGTATTCATTATTTTTCTAAAAAGAGACTATTTAATCATTTGTACCCTGGGCAAGCACAAGCTTGTTCTTTAAGGACACTACACCAGCATCCACAATCCCGTGAGGTCTAAGATATCTTAGTCAGTGTCAAATGCCAGGCCTACTGTCACAGAGAGAACACAAGCCATGAACAAGACACGCTTTTAATTTATAATTACATGGGCTAATTGTGGGCGGCATCAAAGGGATTCCACCGAGTAACAAGACAGAGCGCAATTAAGCACGCTTCGTCCTTGTCATCCTCCTCTAACAACGCTCAATCGATGGTGCATCAGACAAAAAGGGACTACGCAAAAACTGGAGGAGAAGAGCCCCTTCCTCCGGTGGGACACTCTGCCCAAGTCCCTGTGCAGAGGAAAAAACGGCCCCAGCCCAACACCTCAGGCATCGTTACCCGGGGTTACTCTCGCAAGCCCACCCCATAGGAAGCCCAAAAAAGAGAGTCTCGACGTGTGGTCAAAGGGGAGAACGTGCCCACAGGCGGGCACGGGGAGGCAGTTAGAGGAAAGCTGTACGAAGCTCAGAGATCCCCCTGCCAAGAAAAATACAGCACCCCAGCTAACAGCCAGCTTTCCGAAGAATTAAAAATTGTCATAACCTAGGCACTTAGCACAGCTGTCTTCCACCAGGGTCAGAAGTTGGAGTTCTCTAAGAGAAGTACGCTTGCACACTTAGACATTTAAAGTCCCTAAATCCCCCGGGACTCAACTGCAAGGAGGCACCTGAGGAGCTGATGGAGCTGGTCCTCTCGACTACAGGACTGAAGTTCTGCAGACTGCGCTCCTCCTTTTGTCCTTCCACAAAAGTACGCTGCCAAGTTTAACCCAGAAGTCTCCTGCTGCACCTTATTGTTTCCTTTCAGTGTTGCAGGAATCCAGTGCATGAAGCTATCGGGATACTCTAAGGGGTACGGGTACAAGATGGGGCAGACCTTTGCAGGGGACTCCGACCATGCCTGGAATGCCGTCTACCTCGATGGAAGGTGGCATTTACTCGACAGCACCTGGGGAAGTGGTGCTATTGACGATTCGTTCACCAAGTTCACCTTCAGGTAAAGAACCATCCTCTACGCTAATACATAAACCTCCCACAAGGGCAGAAGGAAAAGCTGGTGGGTTTGGCACCCCAAACGGTGACAAATTTTAGGTCCCACAGCAAGACCCGAAGCCCCAAGCAAGGTATCTGGGCTGCCTACACAAGGGACGGAGCATGTACCTGTAGAAAGGCAGCGGCCCCGAGCAGCAAGCCGCGTAATGGCTAAACGCAAACTTGTTGGCTCATCACCTCTTCAGTTTTTGCACTACTACGTGGCTTTCAGCTGCCTGAGGGAGGGTGTCTCCGTGCTTTCAAACAACAGGCAGTGCCACCCTCTTCCTGCGGGAGCCCGTGGTTGCAGGGCTTGGTGCAGATACCCTGGTTTTGTCCAAAAGCTCAGCATTTGCCCTGGAAATGAAAGACCAAAGCTCAGGTGCCTTCTCTTGCCAGGAGAATTTCAAGCCCACCAATCTCAGTTTCTCAGCAGCCCAAAACACTGCAGCTTCCTCCTGCCGAAACCACCACCGCTGTGGAAGAAGAATGAACTATTTATAATTTACTCATTTTCCCTTAATCTCTTCCCTCTTCTTCCAGGTACAATGAGTTTTATTTTCTGACTCACCCCGCTCTGTTCATTAACAATCACTTCCCAGATAACAGTAACTGGCAGCTTCTTAAGCCCACCCTGACGCTGAAAGATTTCGAGAGCAACACGGTGCACAACAGCAACTTCTACACGCTGGGCCTGCTGAGCGCAGCCCCGGAGGCAGCCGTCATCCAGACAGGTAACACCGCGCGGAGGAGGCTGCGGAGCACCCGGCCTGACGCAGCCCCGCATCCACCACGCGCTGTCGTGCCTGCAGCTGTGCCTAAATGAATTACATTTTCGGCTCGGTTCCGGCAAGCAGAGTGCACTCAGAGCTCTTGGGGCAGAGGAGGGGCTTTTTTTTTTTTTTTTTTTTTTTTGTGGTTGTTCAAGCTGTGAAAAGTTGTAGCAGCCCCCGGGTCCAAAAGAAAACCTCAGTCCAGCAGTTGAAGATGAGTTCCTTTACCAGCCAGCAGCAAGAATTAGAAGTAATGCTATTATAGATTAGCAACTTCGGCTTGAAAATGAGATTAAAATCTTTTACGACGTTCCAAAAGTTTGAATTGCTGAACAATGCATAAGCAGACACTTATTTCTGCAACACTGGGCACCCTGAGTAAGTCCAGAGGTTCTTTTAACATAAAACTATTCAGGTAACACCACTGAACCACAGGGCCCACATTTAAGACCACTTTCCTCATTTGAGAGAGCTGCAGGAATTTAACTGGATAGCTAATTTATGAATGCTAAGAACACAGAGTTAAAACTTAAGGACAATAACATTTCAAGACTTAACATTGTCTTCAAGCTGTTTGGGAACAGGCTCATAGGGAGGTAGATTATCTCACAGCTACGTACTGAAGGGTTCCTGCACTTTTCTCTGAAGCTTGTTGGAACAGCTACTGGACTAGCAATCAGGTCTAATCACCTCTAATTAAGCCCTTCTCGAGCACATGGGCTGACGGTACTTTCAGTTACGTTTCACACAGGCTTTCGTATTCTATAGGACCACAGCTCCATTTCAGTGAATATCAAAATAGGGTAAATGCACATCTCCAAAACAAAGGCCACTCTTCATTCTTTTTGAGGGACACCGCTCTAAGCGGAAGGCTGACAAGCTACGACCCATCAGCTGCAGCTCTTTATTTTACTTACTAGAGAAGCGGGAGTTATTTGGGGACAGATTAGTCTTCCCAGAACAGGATGTACACGCAAAAAATGTACTGAAACTCCTATGCAGTTTCTTTTCTTTTGTATTTCATAGTAAATGGAAAAGCCTCTGTATCGGTGGATTGCCGTTCTGCCACGTTATTTACATTTAAGCTGAAGGGAACAGATGAACACGGTTTAATGACTTTGAAAAAACATGGGATGAGGCTGGACATCTACCCACAGAAGACAGGGAGTCACAAGCTGCAGATCTTTGCCAAGCCCTCCAAAGCCTCAGCAGACGTCTACAGCTGCGTGTTAGAATATGTCGTAGAGTGCAAGTCTGTGGACAAGGCCATGCGTTTCCCAAAGGACCTGCATCAGCCTGTTGGACCAAGCTGGTTCACGGAGCGGCAAGGGTTCCTGAGGCCATCGCACCCCGACCCCGTCATTCACACCAACGACGGGCGCTGTTCTGTCACCTTCACCCTGGGCAAAGACATCAGCGTCTTGGCCTCGCTGCACTCCGATACCAGCAGCCTGACAGAGGATATGGGAAGGCGGCACATCATGCAAATCCACCGTGGGAACCAAATTGAATTGAAGATCCATCTCCCCCACGCAGGGAACTTTGTCCTGAAAATCTATGCCAAGAAGAAGTCAGATCCTGGCAATTACGACTACATCTTCAACTACCTCATCACTTGCCTGAACACTGAAGTGAAGTGGCCAGCTTTCCCTCAGAGTTACAGCAAGTGGGTGGAAGACTATGAAATACTGGAGCCGCTCTCCGGCTTGCTGCCGGCGAATCGCAACGTTCAGTTTAAACTCAAAATGCACGGGATAGCAAAGGTGCTGGTTCAGGCTGAGAACGCTTACCCTCTCGCCCAGAGCAGAGGCTACTGGGAGGGAACCTGCAACACTTCGGGATGCAGAGAGGTGTTTGTGATGGTGCACGAGAACGCTAACCACAGCTTTTACTCACACGTCCTGAAATACGAAGTTGAGACCCAGTAACATCCCCTCCTCGTTCTTTCACTCACCTGCACGAACCAACCTTTCCAACGTGCCCAAAACCAATACAGCTTTAGGAGATCGCTCATTCTCTCGATCAAATCTGTTCTTCCAACGAATGCAGGACAACACTTGCAGGCTTTTGCAAGACCACGGGCTCAACAAAGTTCAAAGCAGCAGAAAATCCAGTTAAGAAGGGAGCAGCTGTGGAAGAAATTAAATAAAACCCTCACCTATGTTTCACTAATACTGTCCAGACAAACATTTTGAAGAAAACAACCGACTGTCTGGCCATAGGTCACTCTGTGCCAGCAGTGATTGCTGGTTTCCAAGTTACGGACCACAAGAAAAGTCTTACAAGGGCCGCTCCAAGAAGAATCCACCTAGTTATGGGGCAGGATGAAGAAAGTACACCCTGGTTTTGAGCAGCGATATTGGACACGAGGAACTTCAGGATATTGAAACCACGTTTCTGTATATCTCTAGTCAAGTTGCAAAAAACATCCCAGGAGAGAGAAGTGTTAGGAAGAAGATACAACATGAAGTTTTCTTGTGCACTTCATTGTCTTACAAATTTAAGTGATACTGCGAAATGACTTTTTACACTGACTCTTAAATACAATAAACAAAATCATTTTTACCTTTTTATATTAGAGTATTTGAATTGTAAACACTTTTTCTGCAATATTATCACTGTAATCCTATCTCAAGCATATAGGTGTTTCCATAACTAAAACTACAGTAAAAGGGAGAATAAGTTCTCAAAAATCACTCCTTACTCCAACTCGTCTATGCAATACTGCAACTAAAGAACTTAAGGGGTTATGTGGAAGAGCAGGCTGAGTGACATTATCATCATGTAAAAAAATGTTTGGTGCTGTGCTTTTGGAAAACCCCTACATTCATTCTCAAGGCAGAGGTGGTCTTCTAGTGAATCCTACCACAAATACACGTCATAAGATCAAGCAACATTTTCGTAAAAGACTCAGATCTCTGTTAAGTGTTAGCGTGACCTGAGAGATGGTATGTTTGAGCTTGAATTTAAAATAAATCTGTTATGTTTTTGGATTCTATCTCATTGACCAAAGGATATGAATTCCTCTTTGCAAAGCTGCTGTATTTTCCACACAAACCACGCGGGTTATTCCTCCTCAGCGACTGGGTGGCAGAAGTTACGCACGATAGCAAAGGGCTGCCCATCTGCAGCATGCTCGCTGCCTCCGATCCCTCCTACGTTACTCCCTCTACCCCAGCAACCAGGCTTGGGTCCCAATTTTAATCAAGTTCAGTGAGTGCAGAGGTACCTGGAGCCCTGTTCAAGTAGCAGAGCTCTCAGTGAGGATGCAGGCTACTGCAGCCACGAGCTGCAAGTATAAACGTTACGTGTACGCTAACAAAGCTTACTCCAGGAGTAGAGCGATGCTTTGGGGTCTTTTTGTACGTGGAGACAAGGAGGCTGCAATGCGTCACATAAAAGTGGGTTGTAAGTCCTCCCCCAAACAGCTAAGTGTCTTTGCCCTCAAAAACTGGTGGCAGCAGCTCCTCCCGGCGGGAGCACTAACAAGCCTTGTAGCCCAGCAGGCATCCGTCCCCTGGGCAGCAACACATACCGAACTGCACAGAGGAGATGCAAAAAAGGCTCGGGGATTTTTTGATTGCCTAAGGACCTTGAAGGCTAAAGCCAGCCTTGTCTAAGCACAAACAGCCCTGGTTTATTTCGGTGCCTAGCAGAAGAATTTTTTTTTCCTTAGATCCCATTTTTCAGATCAAGGAGGACGCATTTCAGTAGCTTTAATTTTACAGGTCAAGCTGATCCAGTCAAATACGTCACTTCTTACAATGGGAGGATAAGGAGGCATTCCAGAGAGCTTAGGAACTGAAGAAAACTACCTTTTTTCCACGTCACGGGTCCAAGGGTACCAAACTACATACAGCCTTCATGCAACCAAATACTGGATGTTCACTTACACGTACACGAACGGGCACGAGTAGCTGGTAGCCACGGTAAAGCCTCTCTCCGCAGGGCCACGCGAGTACGAATGCGGTCCCTGCTCCTCGCCGCATCAGAAGGCCTCTCTCTAACCCCACATGCTCTATCTCTGTCTCAAGACCGCAGGCTGGAAAAAAATAAATTATCCCAAGGGAGTAGAGAGGACAGTTTATACACTATTGCTCCCTACCTAGCGAGGTCTCGGGGAGCATTCCCTCCTCCCCCTGCGCAACCCTGCAAAACGCAGGCACCAGACGTGTGTACAGGCACAAACACACTCATTTAACCCCTCCAAGTAAAGAGGGACTCGAAGCGCTGTCACACCCACGAAAAAACATCCGTAGCACACTAAAGACAGGCAGAGCCTGCGACAGCTTCCCACTTTCGAGATGCTAGGCTGCTACAAACAGAAGTGCTGCAAATAAAATTCCACATTTTTTGTTTCAAACAGAAAACAAACATACGGCTCAGGCCTGCAAGTGCATAAGATGTTCTTTGCTGCTATCGAAGGCATGAGTTCAAAGGCACAAAAAAAAAAAAAAAACCCCACCGTCTCCAGCTTCATTAATTATAAAGCTGCCAGGGCCAGGTGATTATTCCAAGGGATGCTTGACACTGCAAAGAATGCCTGAGAAACCCTGCAGCCCCAGATAAAAGCACCTCAGAAGTCTGTACTTGCTGTGACATCTCCCTCCAGGATAAACAAGTCTTTTTCTCCTCCCCCTCATAAAAAAATGCACATTCTTCAGTGCAGCCAAGACTCTAACACCAGGAGAACACCTCTCGGTTATCTCGGGACTACCAGCTCCCCCATTTCAGAGTTCTCCCTTGGCAGGCCTTAGGGCTGAATGCTTTTTGTAATCCCTACGCCACCGAGAGGCACAATTACTTAGCACCATGAATTCAGAACACTCGGTTTTGCAAACACCTTGTTCCTCAGTGAAGGGAAATTAGGTATGTGTAGAACAAGTTTTTATCTCTGGCAAGGGTAGCTCTGCACTTCCGTCTACTCACAAGTTGGCTTCCTCACCCATGGAACAAATTGGGTTAGCACACAACCAGACGCTCGGCTATTTCCATGTTGGCCGCGAGAAAGGCACACGCTTGAAAACAAGGAGTGCAGCAAGAGCAGGAAACTGTTCAACTCCTCGTAGTGCCTTGCTCAACCTCCGTCCTCCTCTCCTGTTGTCCGTGCGCAGCAGCTCCAGGAACAGCGGCCACAGGAGAGTCCATGGCACGGTGTATGTGCGAAGAAAGAAGATGGGAACCACAGAGCACATACGCCAGCGCAGAGAAGTCATTCGGCGGTTCCCCTGTCGCAAATTTTACTCTTTAGATCACTTTAGATCAAATTTTTACAGCCTGCTCCCTGAAGGAAGCTGTATTACATGTATTAGAAATTGATAAATACTGTAGGATTATAGCTGCTAATTAAACAAATGGATCATCTTCAGTTCTGCTCTTCACTTCTGCCAACACGAACTGCCGAATAGCTCTAAAGGAAAGGGATATGGAAGCAAACATCGGTAATGAGCCAAAGTGTCTTCTAAACTTCTGAAAACACTTAGTGCATCATGTAGCTTGCTCAACAAATCTTCAGGAAATATAAAATGGTTTGTAAGGCATCATTTAAAAACCAGTATTGCTGTCCCAACTGAAGGACATGAGGAATGCCTAGGAGTTCTGGCATACCACATACTCCGTGGATCTACAGGTTCATGCAGGAAGGGGAAACAATAGTTTTGTTCTATGTAGCCCTTCAGTTCTGGTCAAAATGCCGCATGATCAACAAGTCCTTACCTGAGATGTGGATAGTTAAGGTGGGTGTTCCAAAAACACTTGCCCGTGGACAGCTCTGAACAGGAACCGAGGCCAATGCTGACTACATGCAAAATGCACAACCACAGTCTAATCCCCAGTTGTGGGCAGTTAAGCACCTCGTTACAAAGGCTGCACAACGAGAGTCCAGAATGGATTTGAAGGTTTTATCCTTGTTCAAAGAACTCCAGAAGAAAGCCAAAATGAAAGAACTTGTTGATTCAAATGTTTTTTCAACTCCGGAAGGCAGAATTGCTTGACCAAGTGCAGTCCCATTTTATGGCATGACAAAGAGGCTGCAGACAGGCATCACCTTTGCTGAACTCATCTGCCTAATCTGACGGTCGGTTTTTACATGCGTGTGTTGCTTTTGAACTTGTTTCTTGACAGCCTTAAGCTGCTCTAGCACAAGGCGAAGCTGACGGAGAGGAATGGGAAACCTACAGAGCAGGACAGGTCTCTGTCCCCAGGTTCGCCTGTACAGAGGTTGTACAGAGGAGCCGCAGAATCCCCCTGGAAGAAAGGCAAGTCCATAGGAAACAGGTTCTGTTCACCCATTAACAACTTACTTTCCCTGAGGAAGGACTGAATATATTCCTCAAAACGGGTCACAGATGTATTTTAATGCAGCAGTTCATCTTGCCTGGACAGTTCATCTGCCTAGATTCAAAACAGGCTGACACCAGCTTACACAGCAGCTGCAGTTACGTCTGCCATACAGATGAATCTCACTTGTTTGTGGGTTCTCCTCCCATACAATTTCATTTCCAGTTCCAGCTACTCTCCTTTCTTTATGATAGCTGTGACCACAATCAGAATTCAGCTATTTATTTCTCAGCTGTTTTGCAGTACTTCAAGCAACGTGCAACGCAAGATAAAGACGCTGGATGCTACACAAACAGTAAAGGGCAGAAGTTACAAGAACCAGGAAACATTAAGAAATTCCACTAAGGGAAAATTAACTGGAGAAAATACAGGTAGCCTAAAGGAAAGACGAATTATATTCCTTGTTCCTTGAACATAGCTACTCTGGGAGGGAAAGGATGGAAAAGGTGTCGATCAAAGCTCCTGATGAGAAGGCAAGATAAGCCACAAGAGAGTTACTCCATATATTTGTATAAACAAGAAAAGAGGTGTTTTTCCATTTTGTTTTATTTCAGTGCTTTTACATGTATAAAATATACATAAAATACTT